AGCTGTTGTGACATCCTGCAAGTTGATAATTACTAGACCGATGTGGCGCTGCACCTAGGTGGGACGTCCTTGCAGATATTCAGCTTCTTGGAAGACCCTGATCTCGCTAACTTCAGAAAATTATCAATCATGACATGAGCGCATCTCTAAATAGCTTATCATCATCATCATCATTTTGCTCCCAAAAGAAGACGATTCGTTAATGTTCCACGCAAAGGTACGCGCCTGAAATTGGTACGAAAGTCCCGTTGCATAGCCTTACAGTTCACTGAATATTAGAGTGCTACTAATCATCCTCGTCAAAGTGAATACATCCGATCGAATCCAAATTCAGAACTTCCATCTCAACTTTACTATGTTTGCTGAGCAATAATGAGGGATTCTCTTGAGAGGCAAAGCGTGAAAAACTAAAAATTGAACCACTATTGCTGTGATGCCTGGAGGTCAACCCAACCATTAGATTTTATCATTTGTGTGGCGTACTTAAAACTGAGTCCTCGGTGGCTTTCGATCAGACGCCAGCATTCAGGATTTCTTTACGTACAACCACCTCTTCCAGTGGTGATCACTTGTAACGTTTGTGGCGGCTTCCAAAATTCTTTTTCTTAAACCAGCAACGCATCAGTTCCAGTTGATATCATTCCAGTCGGACTAAATGATAACCCACAAGCTTCGGTTGAGGTACCTTTTAGACCACTTTCTCCCGTGCGATCTGTTAGGGAGAAGCCTAGGTGTTTGCGTCCTGAATTGGCACGGAGATCTCGAACCTCCAAGTCACCGCCTACAGTTCAGAACTTCAGCGTTTTGTACTTTCACTGCATTTCACACGATCCTTTGATAGACGAACCTCAAACTGTTGAAAAACTTGACTGGTGATTCAAAATGAGCTTGTGGCGAGAATGCATGAAACTGTCAAGAATGGTAAGAAGATTTTATGGATTTGGAAAACTGCCCTGCCCGTACACTATGTAGACAACAGTAGCCGGCGGAAATAGTCGTTTACTTAAACATCAAAGCATTAAAAACAAGAGCTTGCTGTCTTGTAGATACTACTGCAGGCATTGGCACTCTTCCTGCGACTGTAGGAGGCGACAAGACTGAGAGAGGAAAGGAATGTTTAATATCGACATCTTGCACAGCAGTGATGAAACATTGTACACTTTCCACTCAGGCAGTCGCTTGCAAAATGTTCTTCATTTCCTCTTCTGCTTCCGTTCCCATATGCCCTTAACACGCCCACATTGTATCTTGCGCATCTCCGGGCAGAATCTTCGCCCACCGATTATGAGCAATAATTTATGCTCGAAACTTAATCACGTAAATAATACTTGTATCACTGCGCGCTATATATCAATAAACAAATCTAATATGGAATTACATTTTGCCGCAGTTCCCAAGTTTTATACTTATATCACTGCCAGTAAATGCCTGTGATTTCTGCGGCCCTCCCAACATGTAAACTTATATCCATTCTGATCAACAGCGCTCACTACACAACTGCAAGTGAATGTCTTTGCAATGCCTTCCATGTTCTCAAGCGGCCGGAGAAAACCGATCACGACACTGTGAAACAGCCGTAGTTGTTTTAAGTTTGTGTGAGCGTAGTCTTTGGACTTTCCTCGTGGCTGATATCCCGAAAACCATCATAAGCACACACTTGTTGGGCCACTACTATCTACCTGTGGATACTGGTCATCGGCGACTATTATATAACATGCAGATACCTGCAGGCGGAGCCTCTTAACTGGGCCCCAGTTTGACCATAGTTAGGAAGAAGTACGCAGCCGGTTCTCTTTATCTGAAAGGGTTAGACATCTAAAATTAAGACAAGGGGCGTATACTCAACCGTTCGCAGCCGGCAGTTTTGCATCGCAACCGCAGGACCACTTGTGGCATCCAAGGCACGCCGTTTTAAGTTTTTAGTAGGTTGCGGGGGTAATGGGGATGAATTCGATCATAAAGCCTAATTCTGTATCGTACGACCATTGAGTGGCCATAGGCATCATCGTCGGAAATGGTACGAAAAAGGGCGAAACCGGCCTCCGGTTGGAGAGTACCGATAACTTAACGCCAGAGAAGCACCTGGCTGCTGCCTGAAAACACACACGTACGATTAACGTGGATTAACGTAAAATGAACGGTTCTCCAGTTCGGACCCAGTCGAGGCGTATAATAAGATTCCTAGAGTAACAGGAGGCATTCCAAAAGCAGACATCCAACACTTGCAATATTGACTTCCGAACATGCTTCAGGTCTTCGGAAGACAGCACAAGGATTCCAGAGAATCGCGAACTATATCTTTCCTGACTCAAGTTTTGTCCACGATAAGAGTGCATGTCCATCGATACATAAGGTAGTGCCTAATCTGGACTACACGTATCCCACCTCTGCGACGCATCTTTGCGCTTTCAACCGCCTTTAATTCACTAAATAAGGTTTACTGCACACTGTGCACCTCTCGTAAGACCAGTGACAGATCTGCTTTGCGAGAATACAAATGTGTGGTTCAGAATACTGTGACCAAACGTTTCCCCTCAAAAGTCAGGGAGGGTGCTATGTGTACAAAAAAGCTCGTGAAACTTCACCATGGGGTATTTTCAAGCGGCGCAATCAACGGGCCCAACTCGACAATTGGAGATATTTCACATTGGTTGGTCAGCTGCCAGTGGGATCCTGCAGTCTTTTTCTTGGAGGGGCTGCAACAAACGGACATGGGGTACAACGCTTTTGAAGGCGAATTCATAGCTTTGTACTTTCCTTTACGTCATTTCCAACACTCCGTGAAAGTCTATGACCACGTCATTTTCACAGACAAAAACCTCCTTACCTTCCGTCTTGGTTCAGAACAGGTGACGTTTCCCCACGTGGCTTGGGGTAACTAGACTTCACTCCACGGTTCCCACAGAATATTCAACACCTCTCCGGAATGAATACTTCCATGGCTCATGCACCGTACTGAACGCCCTCATTGGGCCGTTCGGGTGGTAATAACTTCGTCGAGTTGAAGCGCGGGTCTTTGTTCACAGCTGTAGAACTGCGGCTGCAGTGAGTAGGTCCTGGTAACGACAACTTTGCGGGACGCATCTGTCGGTTAACTGTGTATGACAGTGACGAGGAGAAGTTCACGAGATATCTTCACTGTGTTGCGCAATCCACCTCATCCGAGTGTATGATCCGCAAAGTTTCGGATGGCATGGGGTGAGCAAAAGAAGTTATGAAATGGACCGGATCATGCATCGCCTGCCGAAAGTGCAAAATAGTCCGAAAAACGGAAGCTCTTATAAGTTAGCTTCCATCGCACGACTTTCGTTTTGACCATGGCAATACATACGCTGTAGAATTTTCGCAAAAATCTAGTGGTCGTTATCATCTTTCAGCTGAGTGGTTCGTTTCATAAGATTGCTAACAGCAGTATGATTTCAGACATTGCTTCTGCAACTATGGGTATTGTGCTTGCCGAATGCTGGACACCTATCCTGAACAAAAGTCGAATATAGTTGATGGCATGTTTGTGTTTTATTTCACCATTTAACCGCATTCAAAGATGCAGTTTATCCCAAACTGCAGAAAGCCATTCAAAAGCATGCAGCATATTGGGATCGTTCGATCGGCACTTTTAACCGATCAGTGTATATAGTCGTGTGTGATGCTTCCGTCTTCCCTTTATGGTGCTGCTTTTATTAATGACTCGTAGGCTTTTAAGGCGCCTTTTGTCGGCCAATTTTTAACGTCTCTTCTCACTCGTGGTGCAACGGTTTTCCCCAATTTTGGTTTAGCAAGACCTTGTCAGGGTACTGCACGCTTTTTTTCTATTACGGGTGGAAGCAAAAGTGGACTGAAAATCAACGAAACACGAAAACCGCGGTGCAGACCAAAAAGGGCTACCCTACCCTTTCAGCCCATGGAGAGAATCTCACTCTTGGTGAAGCCATCAGGTTTTACCTTCAGTCGTCATCTGCTCAGGGAGAAAAATCCTCCCGAATCTGTGGGCCAGATTCAGTCCTATTCATCATGGTTGCTGACCCTCAATGGTCTAGGCCGACTGGCCGAGCCATTAATATTAGTTCCTTTAGTAAGTTCTCGCTTAGTGACCCGTTCGGCTTTCTGCGAATGTATTTCTCGAAACCAAAACTAATGGTATGGATAGTAGATTGAAACAGACTATTCATCACGAATTTGACTGTCAGGCTGACCACAGCTCGCCTTCCATATGGAGGCAATCTACCTTCAGAGAATGAACAACTGGAAAGTAATAATGACGCGAAACAGGCCACCGTTGTAAGTAGCCTCGAAAGAGTGTGACATAGTTCCCAGTTTATTATTTGTTTAGTATTCGATAGTTTCACCAATTCGCCGAAGACTGAACTTCAAATACATCAAATCCTCAACAGTGTAGCTTCTAGGAATTGATCCTACGTCAACTTGACAGAAATAGGGTCCAACCACTGGTCATTCGCGCTTGTTATGTACCCATGACCACGAGACCAAGGTGAAACACGAAAGAATAGCTAGGCACAATAGTGTACTTGACAGCCCGTGGTAAAATGGCAATGCGACCTGACTGAATGGCTGCAGTGCCTTATATGAGCAAGGGAATATAACACAAGAACGTGTTAAATGGCATGGATGCTTAATCCTGTGCCTGCAGCATGTCTGTTGGAAAAACAATAAAGGCCACCATAAACGTTGAATCTCATCGGATCCTAGGCTATTGGTTCCAGGGGGATTTTTGGCGCTACAGCCCATTGTATGGGGTGGGAATTTCTCTTTTTTGAGCAAATGATTTTAGATTAAAACATATGAACCCGTAGTTTACAAATTAATTTTTAAGACGGATTTTAATGACCAGAAGGTAATGAAATGTGTATGATCATTAATAGACCACAGATATTTTAAGCTTGGACTCACAAACGCTTTCAGCAATAAAACGTTTGTTAACTTATGCTTAGATTCTTTCATTGGATTACGTGTCCATTGAATGTCCTCCATCAGCTGAGTAATTTCAACATTAGACGGTACGGTCGTCATCTGAATAGCCGCCGGACTTCTGTTGTATAGACAAACACGATGGAGATTTTTTATCCTCAATAAGCCATGTAGGTTATTTGTATAATATTCGCACAAAATACTTCTGGTTTACTTCATCGCTTACTTCTGTTGTTTATGCACCTCGCAAATACTTGCAGGATATTTTCAATGGAGCATTATATAACACTTTGGGGTTTGAAGAAATGAGTACAGGGTCCGAGTTTCAGTGGGAGCAACACCACTCTCTGGGATGCAGGTGCATCTAGTTGGCGTGTTCTAACTAGGATGAAACGCTTATCCTGGATTCCACTACTAGCCACCAAGCAGACTACAACATAGAGCATTAGAATTGCAACATATCTTAACAACAAAAGCCTTACAAGTAGTTAAAATATCTTAGTGTTATTCCTAGAAGTTCGGTTGGAATCCCTAGATTTAGGTATTGGCTAATTGTAACTCCGCCTTGTAAAAATTCCTGATGTTCGGTATTGATCTTCTCATACGTTCACCTGGCAAATGCCAGGTACTTCTTTGGATGAGTGGTTCGTTTGAAAAATCATTCGCTTGTAATTTGAATTCATAGACTACTCATATGGGACTTGTCATCTTAAGTGACAGCAACCAGTGATTTTCACCAATGATGTCGCTATGAACGTTTCCACCTAACTTGGTTATAGACACCATAATGGATAAAAACCTTGGTGTCTCCAGCTTTACAGTAATTGATCCACTCCCTAAAGGGTGTTTGGTTGGTTTGGAGTATCAAGGCGATATTGTCCTGTTAGACGAATATTCTGATGGAAGTGAGTCTTCTGGACGTCTTGAGCAGAAGACACAGAAGACGAAGACACCAGTCGATGGAATCTCCTACTGTTGGCTTGAACCGTGTGGGGCGATATAGATTACCTGATTAGGGTCCTCAAAACGAAAGGAATCAGTGGTTGATGATTCTTGGGAACATGGCTGAAAATCGGTCACAATGATGCAGATGTATTCACTTCTTGATGTCTTCTTTCTAAACCTTGAATATCTACACTGACCGTTATCTTCAAATTGTTTATTTTTCCACACAACTTTTTCTACTTTGATATCAGCCTTTTTCTATCCACCTGTTCTTTGTGCGCTATTGTGAATTATGCCAATTTGAGCCGATGCACTTATGTATGAGGTTCTACGTTAATTTTGTTAGTCAGTCAGTCAGACAATCTAAAGCTTGAATGTTTGCACTAACTGTTATCTTCAGATTTTCTATTCTCCCACACAACTTTGTTTACCGCACTATTAGTTTTTTTCTATCCGCTTGTTCGTTGTATGCTGCTGTGGATTGTGGCAACTTTTACCAATGAACTTCTGTGCATATTTCCACGTTGATTTTATCTGCCTGACACTACGACATCATCATCATCATCATTATCAACATAGGACCAGGCATTACTGCGTAACGGTCCGAGTTGCCACACCTCATATCAGCACATCAAGTAAAAAGGTAGTGAGGTGAAGGATGAAGATAAGTGAATGCAGTCAAAAGAAATATAAAGTACGAGAAGAAAGGAAAGAGGAGTGACAAAATAGTGAGATTCGGTATAGCGTTGTTAAGATGAGGATAATGTGTGTATACATCTGCGCCACTGACTTCGGTTCTGAGCCATATCACCTAGGGTCTCCAACCACTGGTTCCTCTTGTCCCGTGGACCCCAACCACCTAGTCTGCATCGTCCTACATGGCTTAAACCAACAGTCAGAGACTTCATACATTGGTGCCATGTTTTAGTCTGGCCACCTCGGGCCTTTTTCCAGCCTGAACCCACCTCAGCCAACATTGTGTGACGAGGCAATCGGTGACTAGGCATACGTAGTACGTGTCCCAACCATCTCAGTCGATGAAGGTTCACAACCTCGTCGACTGACTTACCTCTTCTCCCTAAAACTCTACACCTAACTTCTGCATTACTCACATGGTGACACCACGGAATACGTCCTATACTACGAAGGCAACGGTGGTCAAACACCTGAAACCTTTTTGTATCTTCCACTTTCAATGGCCATGTTTCACAGCCATACAGTAGAACAGAGCGGACTGCTGTGCAGTACACGCGACCCTTAATAGACAAACGAATATCACGGCGGCGCCATAGGTGGCGCAAATTGGCAAAAGCCAATCGAGCCTTTTGTATCCGTGCAGAAATCTCATCGGCAACTAACCCACCGGAGTTGATCCTACTTCCCAGGTAAGTGAAGTGGTCAACACACTCAACCACTTCACTCTCTATTGTTAACCGCGGTACCGCTGAAGACCAGTCCTGGAGCAAAAATTTGCATTTGGGTGGTGAAAATCGCATCCCAAACATTCTCAAATTCCCACTCAAAGTGTTCAGAAGACTCTGCATCTTGTCAGCGTCTTCACCTAACAGGACTATGTCATCTGCATATTCTAGATCTAAGGAAAATTCACCTGTGATCGGGTCAACGTCTTTGTAATTAGGTGACGAGAGGGAAACCTCCATAAGAATATCTATGATAAAATTAAATAAGAATGGGGATAGTGGGCATCCTTGACGGACACCACTTGATGAGTATAGCTCCCTGGACAACTCACCATAGGCTCTAACATGCCCACAAGTGTTCGAGTAGAGAGCTTTCAATAAGGTGATGTACTTACTAGGCACGCCTTTCAGTGACAGACACTGCCATAAGACTTCTCGATCAACGGAGTCAAATGCCGCCTTCAGGTCGAGAAATACAGCTATTGTCGGGCGTCTGTAAGCATGCCTATGTTCCAGGACCTGGCGCAGTGTGAATATTTGGTCGATACATCCACGGCCAGGTCTAAAGCCTGCCTGGTTTTCTCGGGCTTGCTGTTCCCGAGCTCCACTCAGGCGTCGGAGAATTATAGAACTTAGGATCTTAGACACTATGTTTGTCAGGCTGATTCCTCTGTGGTTATCACAAGAGGACTTCTCGCCTTTCTTGAAGACTGGGATGATCAGTGACTTAGACCAGTCGGAGGGGATCGTATTTGATTCCCATATACTGGCTAACACTTCCGTTAGCCTGACTAAGAGAACTCTACCACCATTCTTGTATACCTCAGCAGGTAGTCCGTCTGGTCCTGCTGCCCTTCCCCGTTTCAGGCTACCTACCGCTTTCTCAACTTCTTCTAGTGTTGGGGGACCTGTCTCTATGTCCCATTCAGGGTCCGACTGGATAGCGGGCAGCGCAATGGTGGCTGGAGGCCAGTTAAACTGTTCCTCAAAGTGTTCTGCCCATCGTCCCAGTCGCCTTCCCTGCGAGTGAATCGCCGATCCGTCCTTCTCCGCTATAACCTCACTAACTGTTGTTGACCATTTCCCCCCAGTCTCCTTAATAAGTCTAAATAACTGTCTACTGTTACCGATCGCCGCTGCCTTTTCCATCTCTTTAGCCTTTGCTGCCCACCACTGTTCACGATCGTTGCGCAGACTTTTCGTCAGTTTATTTTTAAGTTGCGCTCGCTCTTCATTGTACTCAGAGCCTGCAGGGATGCATTCACGTGCATCCATTAGTTTGGAAGAAGCTGCTGATATCCACTGGCTCTTTTTAGCCATTATCTTGGAGTCGGCTACAGTCTCCAGTGCTGCTTTTACAGTAGACTGAAGATGGCACCAAGCTTCTTCTGGATGAGTGACAGTCTTTTGTTCCGATAACTGCCTAGCCAACTTCTCACTGAACACGGCTTTGGTGTTTTCGTTGTCCAGCAGAACTCGTAGTGGTTTTGTTGCCAAATTTTTTCTACGTCCATTGAGACGCAGGCATATACGTGCTCGGACCAACGCATGATCGCTGTCCAAACACGTACTCCAGAAGGAGCGGCAGTCTTCCACCGATCCTCTCCAGCGATGACTAATAGCAATGTGGTCTATCTGTGTCCATCGCTGAGTCGAGCTCGGTGGACGCCAGGTCAGACAGTGCCTTTCTTTATGTCTGAAATTTGTGCTGGCTAAAAATAGGCGGTTATCTGAGCATAGTTGTAATAGGCGATCACCGTTATCTGTACGTTCAGCTGGGATTCCGAAAGTGCCACCTAAGTGCCTTTCTGCCTCACTCAGTCTACCCACCTGTGCGTTGAGGTCACCTGCAACAACCACTACGTCCGAACGTTTGGCTTTCGAGAGGAGGTTAGACAGTTTATGGTAGAACTCGTCCTTCACTTCATCCGAACTACAGTCAGTGGGTGCGTAAGCAGAGATTACAAAGAGACAACGGCGAGTCTCACTATTCCTTTTAGTTCTCACTGTGCCGTTCAGCCTCATAGCGCAGAGGCGACTATCAACTGGGATCCAGTCTAGTAGTGAGTTTTCTGCCCTGGTGCTTAATGCTATACCTACACCTGCAAGACCACGAGAGCTAGCTATCGAATCTCCAGAAACTCGAAGGGTGAATTTTGCAGATTCACCAGATTGGTCAGGAGAGGTCAGGTGAATAACCACACTTGGGTCCTGTATGCGTGTCTCACAAACACAGCACACATCCATGCCCGAGTTGCTAGAGTCTTTGCCAACGAAGCCTGTTGGCCAATTTGACGGAGGGTGCGGACATTGAAGGCTCCAATATGTAATTTGGAGCGTGGTTTAAGGAGACCAGGGATGCTGTTCTGTGGACTCAGATCGTTGTCGAAGGCTGCAGAGGTAGGAGAAATTGAAGATGATGCAGCATCATTAATTAAGAGACGTGAAGGAAGATTAGAAGGTAATGATGGAGGAGGAGGATAGCAGTCAGAAGAAACTTGGGTGCTGACAGAGTTGTGAGGGCGGTTGACACTTCCCGGCTGCCCACACCGTGGAAGGCTATTTCTTCTTAAGGTACCTGAAAGAGATTTGTGTGACCGCAGAGCCCATCGGACATCTGCTTGAGGCCTGTCACACCCAGCCTTTTGAGTATGATTATTTTGAATTTTTGTATTTTTGGGGCCGGATGAGCGAAAGGAAACGACAAGTGAACCAACACCGCCGGCCCGGCAGACCGTGGGGCGTGGTGGAGTGTGTTATTTTTGGGGCCGACCTTTTCTAACCCCCCCTTCCACTGAGAAGGC